TATATTTCGGCTCTGTTGACAGTCCCAAAGCACCTGTATACACATATTTTCTATTCGGTGGAAATATTTCTTTTCTACACTGAAAAAAATTTCTGGTTGAAAATGGACACGAATCAGAAATTTCTAGTTAAATTTATTAGAATTCTAGTTGAGATAACCGGAATTTTGGTTAATACTATATTTCTAGTAAAATCTACTAGAATTCTTTTATTTTTACCAGAATAATTATATTAATCAGAATTCTAGTTATCTCAACTAGAATTCTAATAGACATAACCAAAAAATTCTGATTCGTCCATTTTCCACCAGAGTTACTGTTTAATCCAACCAGACCATTTTTCTCAGTGTACACTTTCAATATTAGTTCTACAAACTCGGTATCGTTCGTTTCAATAATGTGACCTCAGCTGCACGCTTATTTTCAAGATATGGACTCTAAGACTTTTATATCAAGCAAATATATATCTGAGGTGACAGCTGTACGAGCCAAAAGTAAGTGAATTTTTAACGAATTTTAAACTTTTTTTCGATTTTCTCATCCAGTGCAGCTGAGGTCCTGTTTGTGCGTACTTTAATTTAAGTAATAATACTTTTACAATCCGAACATCTAATACAGAGATTTTTCACCGAATGGAAATGTGGTAAAACAGGAGGCTTTAGCCCGAATCCTCATACGGGCAACAGCGCTTTGACACCGAACGCTGATTGGTGAAAAACGGGTGATGGGGGTAAATTTTACCCCCACAACCGGCTTTTCACCAATTAGCGCTCTGTATCAAAGCGCTGTTGCCCGTATGAGGATCCGGGCTTAGCATCGCCAGACATACAATAAAACTGAAGCAAAATAATTAAGTCATAAACAGTAAGAAAATCAATGTTGAATTTCCTACTGCTTATGTTATAGCCTTACGGTCTCTTCTGCGAATGATCTATTCGATTTCTGCTTAAGTTTTTTAAGTGTCATTTTTATAAATCTTAAACAGCAGTGGCTCAATTATTTAACTGCTATTCCGTTTCCGTTATTATTTTAATAGTGTAATTATTCTAGGAACAAATGCAGATATATATTGGCTATTCAATAAACATATCGACATATTAATCGCTTTACTCTCAAGGGTCACTAAGCAATCGGTATGGGCTATCAATTAATGAGAAAGATACATGCGTAAACATTGTTGATTATACATGAAGAGGATAATTCCGCAGTATTTTTATATAATAAAGCGATAAATAATATGCAAATATTTAGTTGCATAATCATAATGAATAAATGGGAATAAACCGACTTAAGTAAAATGTTAATAAGTTTATAAGTCCGGAAAAACAATTGGTGCGCAATTTAAAAAGACTACAATGTGGTATATATGCAAATACATATATAGTGTATATTAGTAATTCAAGATTGAATTATTTAAAGCAATGAAGATTCAGCTTTGATCGTAATAGGCATTTTAAATTTCTAGTATGGATTGTGTTTCTCACATATATACGGTCTAAAATGAAGATTCTTAAAACGTTAAATTAGCGTTTGAGAAACAGCGAAATTCACATATATTTGCATTCTTTCTGTAAAATTTTATAAATTTTCATGGTTGACACTACTTTTTATTGTAGCCAACTATATATTTTTTTAAAGATAAGTAAAACACATAAGTGTTTCGCTTTTACTTAATAAATTTTTTTCTAAACGTTATAGAATCGAAACTGTAGATCTTAATATTTGTGCTGTTTCTGTAAACAGAATTCTACTATAAAAAAATTTAAATCATAGAACAAAATAAACATGTTTACCTATTTATTTACAACTAATCATACATCATTAACTGCATGACTTATTTGTTTAGATAACATAAAGTCTACATTACAGCGTACTTCCCCTAATATCGTAAAAAATGTTTATAGTGCAAAGCGAAAACATTAATGTGTCCACGAGTTGCATTATCGCGTTATTAGGAACATGATTCACCGATGCTGCGAACGGTTCTTTTGCTCGGAAGATTACTCTTGGAAACTCCCAGTCTGGGAATACACACTTTGGAACCGGATTGGCTGCTAAGGAGATCGGTAGAATTCAACTCAACCACTCGGGAGTCCCCAGCTATTCGTGCCTTCAAACGACGCGATTCGTGACGTCGACCACATGCGCTCCTACCACACCTGAATGACGTCTGAGAAAATTTCATAAACGTGCCAATAAATTGATGGGTCGTCCATCGGTTAAAAATATCACGCAACATTTCTATAATGTTTGGAAAGATCCAATATTAAAACTTGTCAACAAACGAAAAATATCGAATATCAACACGTAAGGCTACTAATAGCAAACAATTCTGTATAATATAGTTATTTCTTCCGCATTAATTTCATTAAATTCACATATAAATTTTCATAGGATTGTTTTTACATTGTTCTTGTATCATGTATTATTCCTGAATCTTCACAACGATCGGATGTTACTATTTTAATTTATTAATATCTACGCATTATGTGTGCCAGATATCTAGAGACGTATTTTTTCGAACATTGATTTAAATAACACATGTTCCTTCTCATCAATCTTCATTTTCAATCGATAAGTTTTTCTAGGAATGCTATCGTATTTGAATGCTATCGTATTTGATTGATCTCGCGCGGCTATTAATCAAGAATAATCAAATTTCCGAAGTCTCTGGATCTCTGTCCAACTTCTGTTACACAACGCTGTGCGTATATAAATTCCATATTTTTCTATTTTCGTTTACGTTTATGATGTATACATCGTGTCATTATGCATATTATAAGAAGCAGGTTTTTAATATTGGCGATATTGGCGATCGTGTCGCCGCTATTAAATATTCATTATAATAATGTTGACACGCCTACCGAATGCACCATTGTCGACAAACGCACGTCAGAGGCCGGACCGTTCGCAGTTATATCTCTAAAAAGCCATAAAAAAGCTAACACGTGCCTTTTCTCTCGTAAGATCTTTCTCCGAACGATCACTCGATTGCACGCGCGATCATTCGCCTCGTGCGTGCGTGCGTGCATTACGTGCATACGTACGCACGTGAACGCGTTGACGCACACAAGTGACGATCGAATGGCAGGATTGTGCCGAGGATTGAGCGTACATGCGTGATCGCACGAACGTCACATTTGCGAGGAGTTAGTTCCGACGACGCGACGCGGACGCAAAACCGATCGCCGCGGTTTGACCTTTAATATAGTTTACGCAAACCTAGAGGAAAAGCGACGTCAAGTGGTAAATTACCTATGTATCTTTTTTTTTAACTATAAGGTAAAAACTGCCTGTTTAATTTATCTAACCGAGCTTTGTTTGCGATGCAATATCGAACCAAAACTCTATGCAAATTTGAGAACCGGAAAAGTTTCAGAAATCTCTACTTTTAATTTGTGCATTTATTTACTTCACGTGTTTCTGTAATATAGCTCTTTGCTGGTTACTTGTTCAAAACTTATTTTGTTTTATTATCTACTTTTCTTCATTGTTATATATTATATTTCTTTTTTTATATTCTTTGGATATTAAATTGACGTTTTTACTTCCTTTAATCTTCTCTATATTACTCTCCAGATTGTAAATCTGTCAAGATTGAATAGCTTTAACAGATGCATAACTATTTACAAAATTAAACTAAATCCCTGCCGATTTATGCTGTACGCTTTTCAAATTTAATATTCTATAGTATATAATTATCCTCGTTTGCAAAGACAACATTTAAAAACTGTTGTATATAAGGTGATTATAGATATTTCTGAAATTAAATGCACACGTATAATAATTTTTTTATAATACATCTACATAATAATAATTATATAATAATTCATATCACTATATTTTTAAATGTCTCCTCTTCGGAAACGTCAATTCGCCGAGATAAATATCCTATTTAAAGCACAAGTTATAAATACGTCGAATCCAGAAAACGATATTGGTAACTTGATCATTCGTTCCATTTGCGTGTTCTGCACAAAGTTTGTTTCCATATCGATTTTGGAAGGCACATTTTTCATAATACCGTTTTTTTAGCAGCGAAGAATGAAGAATTATTGCTTAAACTTTCTCGAAATTATTTTAGCAATCATTCTTATTAATTTAAAATGTAATGAATCTTAGTATCGAGATAATGTATTTGTATATTTATATTCAATATATTCTTGTAGAACTTCTCAGACAATGCGTTATTCTCTGTAAAGCATTATACCGAAAATGTTAGCAAATTCAACAGTACACCAACAAATTGCATACATACAAAAAGGATCGATTAATCTGCATGGAGAAAGACCAATTACTTGCAACTATGTCAGAACCCCTATTTGGTAACTTCTTATCATCGCCTGCGTAATGGGACATTCCGTTATCGTGAATGAAAGGTGTGCGATAGTGCCCTACGGGGATATCCAATACGAGATGCGAAAGTATCAGCAACTAGGCAAGGAATCCCCTCATGATCGTCGCCGTCTTCGTCAATGGCAGTGCCAGCGGCGCTGTGACGGCAGCGACGGCTGTAACGGCGACGGCGGTGGTGGTAACGGCGGCTGCTGCTGGTGGACCACCCGAAACGACGATAGGGTGGGGGCACCCCTGACCCCGACATTAGCAGGCGGTGAAGGGAGGCAACGTTTATATGCGGCGGCAATCCGCCCCGTAGACGCATTCGCTCGTACGCTCCGTCCAAAGCGGACTTAAGTAGTAGAGGCTCGTTGTCGTCGCCGACGTCCTCGTCGTTTATCGTAGTCGAACCGTAGCAGATCGGACGGATCGAGGCTGAAGAGGACGTAGCCGAAGCACATCGGGATATTAAAGTCGAAAAACGCGCGCTCAACGGGGAATCCATTCGTGTAATTTCTCACAAGCGGCAGTGAAGAGCTCACGCACATCATCTACTGCATTGTCCAGTGAGCACTATCAGGCCCGAGGACTGACGATTGAAAGACGTCCAAGTCGATTGACCGTCGAGCAAAGAAAAACTACCTGAATTAGTCGCTAGAAAGAGGAGTGATAAAGAAGATATGATGGCAGTCGCAGCCGCTCAGAAGAACCGCGAAATGTTCGCCATCAAGAAGTCTTACAGTATTGAGGTAAGTCTTATTTTTAAATAATGATAAAGATAATTCAAAAGTTGTTAAAGTATTGCAAAAATCGAAAGAATTTTGAAAGTGTCAGTCATTGAAAAAATAAACTTTTAAATAAATATCATTTTTAGATGAGTACAGAATAACGTTCCGCAAAATATTAAATAGTATGTAAAAAACAGTTTTGATATAAAATACTATTTTGTTTCTATATATTTATGTTTCTCAATCAAAAAATCGTGTTTGATAAATCTGTCACTCTACTTGTAAAGTAAAAAAAAATTTTACATTTCCTACTGTCAAAGTGCTTCTACTGTTCTATTCATGTACATGTCAAAAGCAACAGGTTCGATCATAAAGACCTTAGTAAGCGCGCGAATTCAGTCGTTCATTTAAATATCACCGAATGTTACATGTACGAATGTCATCCTAGTTTCTTAACGTGAATTCATATATTTCGACAAACGTAATTGCAGAACTTGTCGTAGATGCAACAGTATATTATTTATCGAATTATATGAAATTACGTGCACTTTGCATTCATTACAAAGACACGAGTGTCTCACGGCTACTACGCCATGCGCTCTGGCTTAATTATACAATGTCTATACATAGTGAGTGTTCCATGTTTGCTTTTGTAGTTAAATTCTCGAGATTTTTCTAGGCTAACGGCACATTTCGAAATGGGTAAACAAATTGCGCCAGAAAATTGATTAAAGGTGCATGTGTGTCGGTTCCGCTCTTTCTCAATCTTAATAACCGGAGACGAACGCAAGTGAAATTCTCACGTAGGCCCGGCGAAATGGAGAAGAGTCTTTGCGCAGAGAAAGTAAATGCGCTGTGTTATTATCCTGTTTGCGCAATGTTATTGACCTTGTCACAATATCATATTAATGAATATCTAATTGTCGAGGTCACACTTTGTATGGGTTTGATTCTAGAATTTTTCACGTGTTCTATTTTAGTAACCTAAAACCGGTCTGGAACAAACTCTTGATATTTTTAAGTTATTCGCCAAATCTAGCCATTTATTAGAATAATAAAAAAAAATCTTAAACAAATTTATATAAAACATATAAATAGTGCATAAACATTTCAATTGCATTGCAGAATAATTAATAAAATCTTGATGTTATTCGGCCGTTGCGAATCTGTTCATAACAGAGAGTTTTCTTTCTCTCGAAGTCAGAAAATAATAAGATGACACAAAGAAATAATCCGTTCATTGCTCCATATACATAAATTTGCATAAGATCAAGAATCAATTCGAGTCAAGCTACTGATGCAACAAGACCTATGGCACTTACAGCGAGCGCGAAAAATTTAATCTGCTGAAGAAGCGTGAGTCCAACAAGATTACGAGGAAGTAGCCGGTCACGTGTCAGCTGTTTTCGATTATAGAAAGACGCAACGGTTAGGAGAAACCGGTAATTATCATAACGAAAGACAAATAGTATCTTCTCTTCCTGCCAAACATTATGCAAAATCATTTTCGCACCATCCCTTTTGTGATTTGTCTCGCGAATGTTTGCACTTCTATTTCTATTTGATGAATAAAATTGTATTTGCACGTATTCCACGGTGATGAGTATAATAACAAGATAGGAATAAATAACTATAAACGGTTTTATCGTTTGTTGAAACTTACAATTATCGACTGTAGTCATTCTCGAGTATGTAATATTAGCTGGAATTGAACGTGTAACAATTTTTTAATATATACTGTAGACATATCCGTCTACTTTGCAAATTATAGCTCGCGAGAACTCGTCGTTCATCACGTAACTGTATTTTTTCCCTAAGATCGCACACTAATAGATTTTAATCGATACTTTTTCGAGGTTGCTGCGTTTTTCCGTCGCGTGTATAACGCATCATGGATTACGATGGCAAGGTCGATTCTGTTTCTAACTATTCACGTCCAATAAGTCATATGACAATTCATAATCAACACTTTTACGAGGTTATTCGCTCTTTTTTTTTTCCGAACTATAACGCATCTATAACGACAATGCGAAATTTTGCAACAGCGCAAAAATAACCGGCAAGGTCTATGTCTCATTTCTCACGCAATATCGTACTTATCTCTTTAATAACTGTGTTAAACATATATCGTAATCGACTTTGAGCTTTTCGACTCCTACGTGATTTTCTCAAACAATCGAGATTTATTGATGCAAAAGTATTACTAGTGCAAACAGTTTACAAATCGCTAATGTTTGTTTGTGAGTTCGAATGCTAATCGAAGAGATTCGTAGATTCGCAGAGTTTTCTCTGAATTTACCTTCTCCATTCATGCATAATTTAACACGATGTTATATACATTGGATATCGTTACCGATAAGTGAAAAATTGATATTCTCTAATGACATAACGTTTTTTAAGATTAATACCTAGACGAGTTTGAATCTAGGTTCAGTGCTTTCTTTTCAAGACGATACCCGGATACCCTCTAAGCGTTGTATGATTTGTTATTTGTTTCCGTCTGTACAAATACGAGAACACGTCACTTCGATGTGATGACAATCTTACGCTTTCTCCGCAAATTCTATGAATCGAAATCGTTAATGTGTACATAGGTAGTGGTGAAATTCTTACTAATTAGTGAAATTCAAAACCGTATTAAAATTGCATTAAAAATTGCAAATAAAAAATTAAATTGATAGTTCTATATACGTATAGATACATATTTTCTAAATATTATATATTTTTTAAAATTAAAAAAATCTAAATAATTTAAATTCTTTTCAATTACGTTATTTCATAGAAAGCATCTGCCAGAGAATCTGGCGATTTCAATTCCGGCGAGTAGTGTCTTTCTGCTTTAAATGATAAATCTCGGAAGTAAACGCACGTAACTATATAGGCACATTTAATATTCTTGATTACATAGATAGATATAATTTGCAGTTGTTCGCTTCGAATTACGCGCGTATTAACTTCGATTTTTATTCATTTGACGATCATGACGAGTCTGACTCATTCAAACGGAACTCGTGCGTGCATACACTCCGGATCTAGATACTGAACCAGATCGAATCTAGAATCGGTTATACGCGATCGATAGTTATCGTACGAGGAACGGCGACGCGGGGTGAAAAGTAAACCGACCTTGAGTAAATTTCCTACCGCGATCGCGTCGCCAATGTGGATATTATTTCACGTTTCTGTTATTCCGGGTATTCGAATAATTTAAATAATCTAAACCAAATAAAGATTCACGGTCTCGCCATCTAAATTAAAATCTTAATTAATCAATTTGTACATGTTCAACATTTTTTATTATTTTTTCGATCATGTTAAAACCGGTATATCGTACATAGATTTGCCAAAGTATCTAAAAATTTAGGTAGCTACAGACCTGAAAATAATTTTATTGGACCATCAAAATACTTACGTAGGAATCTCAAACATGTTGAACAATGTTGCAAAAAGTTATGACATTCTAATAACCAGTTTGAGCGTTCTACATAATTATTTTGATGGTCCAACAAAATTATCTTTAGATATTATTATAGCTAAATTGGTAGCAAATATATTATCGATTTTTTTTTACGAAATCTAGACAGTTTTGTTCTGGATTCTAATATGGCCACTAATGATTATACGCACACGACTACAGGTTGTTTTTCTCAAGCCAATCACCTTGCCCTAGAAGCATCCGTTCACGCGACCGCTTGCTTAAAGTCCGCTTATAGAATAACATTAGAGCGTTCAGCGAATTCATGACAAAATTACCACGAGCTTATTTGCAAGTTCGCAATAAGATCTGATAGCACCCTCTTGGTATCAAGGCTGCTGCTACTACCGATCGATCATATTAAGCAGGATTATGTCGTCGCCGTTGCAAAATCAATCTCCGGCCTCGTGCATGATAATTATGAATGTATTATAAATATCAAGTGATTGTATAGAGCGGTTAAGAAAGAGAGAAAGAGAGAGATATGCGAAAGAGGCCCTGAACGCTGCACCCGTTATTCGCCTTTGGAGGCTCACTGCACATGCACTCGTTGCATTCGCAACTATCCTTCGGCGCATGCAACTCGCGTGCGCGTGCTGCATGTGTATTCGTCTATGCACGTATTAGCGCGAGTTTGCTATGCTAATCGTTTTGCTTAAACGCTGGTTATTTCGCCTGGACCGCAACGACTTGTCTCTCTTCCAGGGTGAGAAGGATTATATTAATGCGAGATTTCAATGTGTGTGCGTGTGTGGCGCATTATATATCTCGGCCGCGCATTCAACTGTACAATTGCGGTTTTATGAGTTTCAAATTAATACTCAAAGACAAATTATTTGCCCGCTGGAGTTCCACCGAGGTATGCGCTTTTTCGCTCGCTCTTAATCGCCCTTACGCACTGCGTTCAGATCGAGAAACTTGCTGCATTATTTTTTGTCCTTTTCTTTCGCGCAAAGACTTCTAAAAATATTAAACGTAATTTTTGGTAAAAAATTAAAAAATAAGTATTTAAAAATCTCTCATATTCTTTTGATACATTTTAGAACTGAATTAATCATTGAACATAACAGTAGTAGATTAAAGATACTACCTATATCACGCAGTAGATAATGCATGTCAGATTCCTTGATTATACTTCTTAGCTTGTTACTAATGTTTGGATTTTTATTACCGTTGAAACAGGATCATAAATAACGAATAATCATAAAATATAATTTTTATGATTGTTAAATAGATATCAATCGAGATAGCAAAATCCGCTCGAATAATTGGGCAGATAGCGAGCTAAGTTATGCGAGCGCAATTTTAATGATCAACCTTGATTATATATTATCCACGAGACATTACGCCGTATTAGCATCGTAATCATTTGACATTCGCTGTGTTAGAGACGCGTTAGAAACGCTTTTTTATATAATAGATAATAAGGTAAATCGAAACTATGAATGATCATAAAATTATATGACTCACACGGATACATCTATATCTACATCTCGATTTAATTATACTATACTACTATTATTTCCAGTAATTATTTAAGTACCTCTTGCAACACAATCAAATTAAAGAAAAGCATAATTTTTTTAATGCTTTAATTAAGATATGTCACTTGTATTATACTATATATAGTTTTTCAAGAATATTAAAAAAAGTTAGATATTAATAAAAATAGGAATGAATATCCGGAGCAAAACTAATGAGAGAAGGTGCAAGGAGAGACCCTGTTTATCTACGGATGCGACTCCTCCGCCATGTAGTAGGTAATTACTCGACTTGCTAACTCTCGAGGTCGTTTCTTTCGCATCTTCGGCCATACATTCGTGCTATTCTACAAGGTCGGAAACAACATTCCTACGGTACCTGCCGTTTGCTCGATTGGACATTCGCATCGTTTATTGCCGAGTTATCGTCGCGCTGTTTCATTCTTTTTCCCTCGAACGGACAGTCACCGTACATCAGTTGTCGACAAATATTTGCATATATTCGTCACTTTCCCGTACGATAGTCGCAATTCACACGGATAGCCGACAACTCCGGACAGCTTTACGATAGGCATTAATTAATTTGTGACTTTATCGATCCATTGGGATGAGATTTATCATGCATTTGCTGTTTCTTCGATGTGTTATCACGTTGTGTCGCAATTTCCCGACATAGTCAACTATTCCATCGGTAAAGTACTTGGCCCACTTAACGACGCGCGTTGTTAAGGGAGATTGCTAAACGCTTTCTCTAAACTATGCCAACCGATGACTTTGCTGGAAAATGCAACTGGGTCTCCAACGCGGCGACAGTCAGGAATTTGAATGATTGGTAACGCATGCTTGTCTGTTTTCGCCAAGTAAAAGCGTCTATTTTCAGTCTTTGTCTCTTAAGATTTACTCATTAATTTTTTTGCTCACAAATAAAATTCTAAATAAATTTTTGCTGAAAAATTCATATAGCTAAAAAGGTATAAATATCTCAAGTAAAAATTTTTCATCAAATTGCAAGAAATGAGCAAAAGTATATTAACTAAGAGAGCGGTAATAAGAAAAATAAAATTTATCTTCTTTTAAGAACTGAGCGATATACTCAAGCCTCTTTCTACATCTCTGATAAAATTAATTCATTTCCTATACTTCAACGACAGCAGGACGGAAGTCGCGAAAATTCATTTCCGTGCCTTTTGTTCGTTACCTGATTTAAGCGACACTTGGTCGAATTGACGAGTTAGATTTCCGTTTCGTCTCACGTCAAAGGTGGCCACGAGTAGACCACACAAAACGGAACCTGACTCAAGAGGAAAGGACATCCGCCCTTTAAAGTTCTATCTATAATTGCTTGTGCGTCAGCAATAAAATACAATAGAACAGTACATCAGCACTCAGAATTTAATCATACGGAAATGATATAGATATTTTTAGCAATATTCTTATTAATTTAATTTATCATAATTTTCTACATGATATTTTATATAAATCGAACTTTTAATTTATATTTTCAGAACGGGTATCCAGCGCGACGACGTTCCCTCGTAGACGATGCCCGTTTTGAAACGCTCGTCGTCAAACAGACGAAGCAAAGCGTACTCGAGGAAGCTCGACAACGAGCGAATGGTAAGTCTTCCGAATTGTCTGGCATGATTAATTCTTTTTATTATTGTATATATAATCTCTATTACCGCGTCAATATATGTTTGATGTATAGATATGTTTTATGTATAAATATTTTTGTATTTGCTATATGTACGCATGACTTACTGTATAAAAGATTACGATATTGATATAACGTACCTTTATTAGAGAAATGTACATATATGTTTAAAAATTTTTTTAATAAAACATTATATCTCTTTGCTAACGCCGTACAAGAGCAGAGAGAAGTAATATATGTATATGCATGCACATGTTAATGCATGACGTGTTTCTTTGTTATCGAATAGACACAAACGCGGATCAGACAATTACTTGTACTAAGGATAAAGGACAAGAAGAAAATTACATCGATATTTCATCAAGTGATGATGAACAGGTGGAATCATTAGTTTGCGCGGTGCAGGAGGAAGGTTTGTATCTAGATGTTGTCAAATAATTATAACGCTCTTTGAATAATCGGAGGCGTGATATGCATAGGACATAATTGCATTGAGTGTCATCATTAATATGATAATTTTATTTAATGTAATAATAATCCCCGTGCATAACATTTATAATGTTTACTATAATGTGAAATTGATTGACGTCAAATGCATCTGCCGCCAAGTATTCAAGAATAAATGTTGCATATATATGGCATGAGCACGAAACTTGTAACTTTCAGAAGCGAAAGCGGAGGCTTCCTCAGACAGTGATGGAAAACCGGATGATGATGACGATGATGGTACGTATATCTTCTATCCCTTCGTAATTGTGTCCAGTTCTAGCAAAATGTCACATTACGTAATAGAAGTGAAACAGGAAGTGGGAGATTGCGTGCAAAGAGGTTACGCATGTGGCGTAATAGTATACGATGGAAAGATAGGAAGGCAACGATAAATGGAGGGTGAAACGATCGCCATTGTCGACAGTCGACTAGGGCGAGTGCTCGGCCGACACTTGGAGTGAATTACGTCTCCGAGCTATTTCCGTCTTTTTCCAACCCGTCTTCGCCCTCCGAAGCCGCTTTGTGCATTTAGAATCGTATTACCGGAGCAGAGCCTTTCTCGAGATTTCACAAGCGACCCTGCGTGGCCGCAGTAAATGTGTAACACGGTTATTCCTTTTCGCGCTGCCTTCCATCTCACCGGCACGTCCGCGCTCGCGACAATGACGGCTACTTTTGCCACTTTTCCGCCGCCCCCGCGACCAAGTAGATGGTACCGTTTCCGACGTGACGGCAAAGCGCTATGCGAAAATGGACTTTGAATTGCCCGATTATTACCGCGGAAGTCACTTAGGGTACTTGCAAGAAATCATGCCTAAAAAGAATCGTTCCTGGGAAAGTTTTATAAGTCGAATTCGCGCTTTTCTTATTTTACCTATTATCAAAACGCTCGTATTTTCTCAAATGTCAAATCTACATAAAACTGTGGAATAAATGATGATGCGCATTTTCTGCGGGTAATGCATTATTTCGATCACGCGGCATATACCGAGAATGTCTTTAATAATTGATCGAGAAGGCCGACAATAGGTCTGTTCGCGTTGCATGAAATCCCCAAATATTTTTGCACTTAAAACGAGATAGATACATATTTTGCTTTAAAAAGAGAGAAAGCGAAGATGTCGAGTGCCAAAAGCAAGCGACGCGAACAGACTTATTGGTTTATGTTTCCGTCTAACCGTATCTGCATGAGTTTCTTTGTCGTCTAACCAAAGGAGTTGTATGACACATATTGATTTCTCGATCAAGACGAAAGGGAGAACAAAGAGCTAGTGTAAAAAAAATTCGCGAATCGTTATTAATGTCGAAGCGAGTCATCAAGTTAAGAGTGTGACAACAAATAATGAATTGCGAATTACGATTTATAGCCGAGATGTAAAGACGAGTTGTGATATACGTTAAAATTATTTATTTTTTTATTTGTGCACGAGTAAGTTATTCTAGTGTCCCACAGAACGATGTCACTTTGCGACGAAAATCTTGTTAAGAGATGTCTTAAGGGAAATCTTAACAAAAATTATTTGACGGATAATTCGAGTTTATTTAGAAATATCTTTAATGTCATTATCAAGCAAAACTAGACGATGTTCGCTTTTTCACAGATGCCGGATTAACCGAGGAGGAAGTAGTGCTCGCGAAAACTATAGCCGAATCTCCGGATAGCGAGTACAACGTGCAGAAAGCGGCGCTGGTATTGAGATTGCGAGAGGGTATTGGTTCTCTAGGCAGAATCCTAAAGACAATCGAAAATTTCAAGGGCATGATCACTCATGTCGAGTCACGGCCCTCCAAGAAGGAGGGTCTGCAATTTGAGGTCTTGGTCAAGATTGACATGAGCAGACAGAGCCTGTTACAGTTGATTAGAAATCTACGACAAAGCTCGGCCTTAGACGGCGTAAACCTGCTCGCCGACAATTCCGTCAGCATCAAAGATCCCTGGTTTCCCCGTCACGCTTCCGATCTCGACAATTGTAACCACCTAATGACTAAGTACGAGCCGGATCTCGACATGAATCATCCAGGCTTCGCCGACAAAGAGTATCGCGCTCGTCGCAAAGTCATTGCCGAAATTGCTTTTGCTTATAAGTACGGCGACCCGATACCTTCTATTCCTTACACCGAGACGGAAAACGAAACTTGGTCGCGCGTCTTCAACACTGTGTTGGACCTGGTACCGAAACACGCGTGCATGGAATACCAGAGAGTCTTCAAGAAATTGCAAGAGGAGAGGATCTTCGAGTCTCACCGTATACCGCAGTTGCAGGAAGTCAGCGATTTTTTGAAGAAGAGCACGGGATTCACTCTTCGACCGGCCGCCGGTCTCTTGACAGCGCGGGACTTCTTGTCCAGTCTTGCCTTCAGAATATTCCAGAGCACCCAATATGTCCGCCACATCAACAGCCCGTATCACACTCCCGAACCGTAAGTGCTTCTAATTTTCATCATTTTTTACTTTCGTTAGTTCGAATTTATTTTAGGGACCAAAAAATAGTTATTGGAATAGAGTAGTTACTTTTTTTCTATTACGCTTAGATTATTCTAAAAAATGGATAAAAATTCAATTCAAATATATTGAACATGCCATTTGCAAATCACCTCTTGCCCAGAAAGTTTTAAAACTTTAAACTTTTTACTTTTTTTTCATAATTATGATTCGGTATAAGCTGTAAAGTATGCAGATAAAAAGAACATACTGTACATAACTAGTTCATAATGAGATTCGATAAAATATTGCTTCGAAGGCATAAAGCTGCAACGCATCTTTACATAAAAATCGGGCATTGTAAAGGTCGCTCTGGCTCCGCATCACTGCTGCCCCTTCATGTCAAACTGCAAGGTAATCGATATTGCGTTATGACGGGAACCTGCACCCGGTGGTACACAGAGAACGATGATAATAAAATTACTGCGCCTCTCTAAGCTCGTAATGGAACTCTAATTGGCTTTTAACGTCACGATGGCGTTGATAACTCAGTTCCACAGTTACGAACTCGTTTCTCCGCGTAGCGATCCACGTCACAGTACGATTTTCAAGAACTCTAGATAGCTTTGCAAATTGTAAGAATGGAATAGCTCCTTGAGTTCGCGCCATTTATTTGATAAATTTTAATTAATTTTAGCATGTTCAATTTATTTAATGCAATTAAAATCCTACTGCTGATGTAAAATTAAGATTTAAATATTGCAAATTGCAATGATTTAATTACAAATCTTCACATTTAAAATTAACTAAGCAATAAATTTAAATATAAAACGAATAAAGGAAAATAGAATGGATAAATTTAAGAGTGCGAATTTTAAGACAAGCACGTGGCAATGTTCTTTAAGTTTGTTTTATTTTATTTGCAGAGATTGCATTCACGAACTCTTGGGCCATATGCCGCTTTTGGCCGATCCAAGTTTCGCTCAATTTTCGCAAGAAATTGGATTAGCGTCTCTTGGCGCTTCAGATGAAGAAATCGAGAAGCTATCAACCATTTACTGGTTCACGGTTGAATTCGGATTGTGTAAGGAAGGTCCTGAAGTCAAAGCTTATGGTGCTGGCTTGTTGTCAGCCTACGGTGAACTCTTGCACGCATTGAGCGATAAATGCGAACATCGAGCTTTCGATCCGTCAATTACCGCTCTCCAGAAATATCAAGATCAAGAATACCAACCGATATATTATGTGGCCGAGAGTTTCGAGGATGCTAAGGAAAAATTCCGTCGTTGGGTAAATACGAAAATGCTAATTATTTTCAATGTGTTTGATGAAATCGTGTGTTTGAGTAAATGCTTAATGTTCAGTATTACCTAACCCGTGAAATTAATTTCGCATTAAATTTGTTTTCCTACAGTTTGCCAAAGTTTTAAATTCTTGTTATATGTATACTTATCGATAAACTCAAAAGTATTAGAATCGAAGTAGACCAATCTTCTTTTTTACGTTCTTAATTTCTTCAATATTTTTTATTTCCATTTATTGCAAATAAAGAATAGTAGCCTGTTCACTTCCGCCTACCTGTTATTTCTCACTTTGGTAGGATAAGCTTAGTCATGAACCTTGGTTTCTCTTACAGGTGGCCACTATGAGCCGGCCATTCGAGGTCAGGTTCAATCCGCATACGCAACGCGTCGAAGTCCTTGATAGTGTTGATAGACTGGAGGGTATGATTTCCCAACTCAATACCGAGATGACCCACCTTACGAATGCCGTCAACAAAATGAAAGCGAGACAATTTGCGTAAGGATGAAAACTTCCGCGTTTTCGTTTATGATTCGATTATTCCTTTTGCGAACCATCGAACCTCGAAATCGATCACTTAGCCAATTAAATAATCTTTAAACTCTTTGGTGACAATAATTTTCGATAATCTATCAAAGAATAGCAGATAATTATTATACTATAAAAAACGTTCTTCCTAGTAATTGTAACAGAGCTTAATGAGTCTTTTAATGATATATTTCGAAAGCGTACCAGTAATTTTAAGGAAGTTATGTAGACCATCGCGAAAGAGTTATTTGTTTTAAATAAGAAAAACATTTTGAATTGCATCGAAACTTCAGCTTCCAGGTTCGGTGGAGCATATCATCTCATTGTCATAATTTTTATTGCGTAATTCGTCCTTCATTTCGTGTATAAAGTCATTCATTTGCGTTATTATATGCGTGTACGCGCACTGATTATAAACAGTGGATCTGATTATAAACTGATTATAAAATGTGACTTTACTTTGACGCACGCGAACGTCAGCTTGTATTGTGTTACGTTTCGTCCAGATAATCGTACAACTTAATTAAGTAAATTGTGACAGTCCAATCTTTTGTTCTTAAGACGCCAAATGAGCGGAAATACATATCACAAGGTTATCTTTTAATAAATAGAATAGCATTGTCTTTTTTTATCAATATAGTTGCGCGTACATGCATATGAAAGATTCTCAAAATACTATTATATTATTATTAATTATTAATTATTATTATTTCGTTCTATTCTATTATATAATATTGTATTATTATGTTAGTACGTTATGTTATATATACATGAATTTACTTAATCCAGCAGACACTGGCATCTGCCCCGATAATTCGTAGTACAATCTATTTAGCAAAAGTTATAACGCGAGATGGTTGTAGCTAAAAATTATATCGTAGTCTTGTAGAACTTGTAGAATTCGCGGGATTGATTCCTCATCGCGATAGAATTTGTTGTTCAAACTTGAGCGTACAGTATTCTCTTCTTTCGCGAATTAATTGTCACACGGTGGCTGTATGGAGTCTCGTTGGGCGGTTCTCCCGGACTAGCCGATAAGAAGTGACCGTTCAGTAAATATTCTTATTGGCTTGTCGCACTTAATTTAGAATTTACCTGCATCGAATTAAACAGTATTTCGTAAAGAATATCTTTAAGTTGTGTTCTTACTTAGATAGTTCGCATCTGGGCGCTGTATCGCTTCTTGTTCGATCGAACTCTTTGGAGATAATAGTCCCCAAACAGTTCCAGAAGTCACAAAGCGATATTGCTTTAGAAAGATAATACTATTTAGCGAGTAGTGCGAGTCCCCGCTTGCGCACGCTATGCTATCGCATCGACCCGTATGAAATATTTTTCTCGTACGTGTACATGCAAGTAGCCCACCCTTGTTAGATTGTAGTAAAGACGGTCAATACTTATGACATGTTTCCTTTGTATTATATTGTAAAGTACTCAGAGCATAATAAAAAATTAAGATATGAATCTTACACGTGTCATTATCTTTTTATGCGATACGTCTGTAATTACAAAGTGAAAATCCCGTAAATACGTGATATAACTATTGACTTACGGCCATATTAGCCGTTCATCAAGCATAATTAAGGCGTAAGTTCGACATAACTGGAAATGCTTGAAACGAAGTGAAATTGCCTCTTACGTTGTGACGGACATCGCTTCAGAATGCATGTGTCACTCAAATTCTTTCTTCTTTTTCTCTTTTATTCAGAACACCATGATTAATGATTGAAATATAATAATGAAAAATAATACTTAAATAAATGCATCTAATGTTTACCGTGAAATTTGTAGTCCTCACCGTCGCGTTTGCTACGCAATGCGTGTACGCCAAATCGCGAAATGGATATGGTAAGAGAAAGTGATGTCCTCTCTCGTCATTCAAGTGACTTCCTTCTTTACTCATCAGGTTATTTCGACGAGAAATTCTGCGTGCTTGAGTGGATCACCTACCTGAAGCGACTCTCGTTAATCGCGTTAATGTTGTGTGGCGTCGTTTTGTATTACGTGCCCAAGTCACGTTCACGTAAGTAGGAAAAGGAAAAAGCGTCAAGTGAAAGGAGAAAAAGAGAAGAAAAAAGAAAGAGAGAGAAAGAAAGAACTTTTATCACCGTTTGTAATTTTTATCATCGTTTATAATTTTTGATTGACTTTCGGACATAATTAAAATTACAAAATTGTCCTCAATACGTCGCTAATAAATAAACAATAAAAAAGGTTGAGCATATGTCACGCACTAGATCTTGTTAGTGAAATATCATCAATATATTCGCATATAGAATTAAAAGAATTAACAATAATTATGTCAGTTACAATTAATCAAAGTATACATTGATTAATTGTAACTAACATAATTATTGTTAATTCTTTTAATTCTATATGCGAATATATTGATGATATTTCACTAATAAAATCTAGTGTGTGGCATATGCTCAACCTTTTTTATTGTATAATTAAAATTTTATGTAATATTACATTACGAGAACATTTTCCTAACCGTAAACTTCCACAATTTATCGTTAAAATATTACAGATCTGTATCGTTTATGTTTTTAGTTACAGCAATCCATTCAAGATTTCAATATATTCTATTTTAATTAAACTAAAAAGAAAGATTTCTTAGCACTTTCAGATTTATATTTCTGTTAAGTTTTACTTATTTATTAAACCATAAAGAAAAAAGAATAAAGTAAAGTGTATTAAGTTCATGCAACAAGTAGACACAAATTCTTATAATGTACAAATAAGTTATGGTATAAATAAATTATATTACATTTTATATGCTTTTTTAGATGCTCGAAGAGCATGTTGCATCTTGATAGATACTGTTGCAAATGGATTAAAGTTTGCCTTAAATATAGATGAAATTAAACATGAAAAGATAAAAGCGAGATATGAAAATGAAACTAAAGAACTAAGAATACAAGAACTATACAGAAACATATACGAAGAAGATACAAGAAATAGTCAAAAATGCATTAACAAAACAAACTTGGATAACGATAATCATAAATCAATAAGGTCAGTTATATTTTTGCTTAGTCTTTCTATTTACGAAGATAAATCAGCCAGTAACTTATGAAAGCACGATCTATATAAAAAATGTGGCTTTATATTTAATATTTTCTTATGCAAATATTAATGTCCTAATAAATAATATATAAGAATTTCATAGAAAACACAAAAGTAAGAAATTTCGCACAAAGCACACTATCGGTGGAAAACATGAACGTCATCGACATAATCGTCATCATCGAAATGCGATCAATAATATGTTGCCGGAATCCAACGCAATGATAACCGCGTATGTATATGTATATCATATGAAATAGGATTATCATATCAACTTATATAATTACATTACTGTCAGACTATTGACAAAACTGAACTTAATACATCGAAAATTACATATTTTCGATAAAGAAGACACGTGCCGCGCCATATCACTCATTTGACCTTTTACGTCCTTATCTTTAAAATATCATTTAGTTAATACATGAACAATACAAATGGTCAAGTATTTAATAGCATGTATCTTTTATATATTAGGAATAGGTATATCTTTATACAAGAATTCATACAACAATATGCAATATAATTATTATTATAGAATATATACTTAATAAAAATATGTATATCAATATTTATACCAACAGGCCACAGCAGATAACAATAATCGATGAGAAATGCAAAAAAGACAATGTGATAGTCCTACAGGATACTATTCTGAAAACAAAGTGCACAATATCGGCGGATAAATTAAAAAAGAATATTGATTCTCAGCAAGAAAATTCTTTAAATAAGAAGGCAGATTCCAGCGCGATTTCAGAAATTATTGATAAAAGTGATACCAAGCATAAACTGATGTGCGAAAGCAATGATTATCAAGAATATAGTTATATTAGTAATAATGTATCAATAGCGAAAGTTTCCGATAAAATTTAATTTGAGAAATTATGTTTAGTTTTTGAAAAATTATAACAAATATTGGTAACAGCTGCAGGAAAGCAAATAGGAATTTTATAGCAAAAAACGAAATTTTTCGAGATGCTATTATAATTGTTTCAGGAAATTCAAAACTTCATCCCAAAAACAGGAGAACCTAAGCAACATCGATACTAATAAAAAAATGCAGACTAAACAAAATTTTGATTGTATGGTATGTGTACATGCGCGTGCAATCATTATATTATATTATAATATAATATAATAAATATAATATTATTATTATTTCTGAATTAATTATCATATTCTAATCAATCTTCAAATTAAATAGCATTTTATATTTTATAATTTAAATTTTATAATCTAAAAGCTCTCTATCACGTTTTTCAGAAACACGAAGAAGTTGCAATTCTTTCCCGACGTCAGTCAAGTAAAGATTGCGTGACAATAGTCATAAACAAGCAAATGGATTCTCGTTATGGTAATTTATATTAGTATACCATTTCATGTCCGTATATTATTAAATAAAAATAAATTATCAATTTATTAGGTACAGAAAAACTATTCGCAAAGCGACATGATGGACTTCGAAAAAAAAACCATCGATTGCCTCATGATGTAAAAAGTTTTACTCATGATTGTTGTGAAAATTCATCGATTACAAATAGTACGTGATGTAGGATTCAATAAATCCAATAGTATAAAATCCAATCGAAAATAAAATAATCTATTTCGAAAGATTATTGCACGAGGAATACTTAATATAAAATACTTTGATATGTATTTAATTATCTTTTACTATTCTCATCATTTAAAAAAAAAATTATTATAATTAATCGTAATATATATTTTTATAAAGATTATTATAAATACTTTTAATCTTGTATTCAGATGATAATTTTTCCCAGATGTTAACTTTCCCATAAATGATGTTTAATTACAACGTTAAAATGTAAGAGTTTATTGGAAATGTTTATTTAAAAAAAAAAGATCAATTATAATAATTATTACAGCAAGTAAATGTAATTTAATGTTGGAAAAATTCTGAAATTAATTGAATCGTTATTCAGATCGGGTTAAACCAGTCCTACTGCGAGTTGTAAACTGGTTTTTTAGTGGTTGCCCAGAGGCATCAAAACGACACCGAGAACAGATTAACGAAGTCGGAAAGGAAGAAATTTTCGAATCTACCAACACGTGGCTCCTCTAAACGAACGAAGTACCTGCAGCAGTAAAGTGCAAAGCTGTCGATAAACGTAGAGATCTACGTCTTTATCTTAATGTAATATGAAGATAATTCTAAAATTATAGTAAATTGTTACTTGACGATTTTTAGTATTTTATTATTAATTTTTACGTAGCAACATTTATTTTTATTGACATATCTTTTTCAGGAGTTTTCTTAAATTTATGTGTTTCTTCTTTTCTTCATTTCCGATTTTCTATTAACATACCTAATAAAATATAAATATCTATGAAGTTATATATTGCACTATTCATTTCCCGTGCACACATACTATATATCTAATAATTTTATTATTAAATAGAAAATCTTGCATTCAAAAAGTATAATTTTTAGTATTTTACAAATTTGGACAAATCTTTGCATTTAATTTTAGATTTTTATTCATTACAAATTCTCACGAGAAGATAACTAATATATTCTTAAAACATTGTATAAATGTAAATGTAAATGTACTAGTTAATAAACAGTCAGTGGACTTGACCCAACTACTGGACAAAATAACAAAAATTTTAAATATTAGTCTCTATATCTGAATCAGTGGATAATCACCGATTCAGATGTAGAGAGTAATATTTAAAATTTTTGATATTATCCAGGGGCACTGATTCATGGATTTAAATAGTAAGCTTTTAATAATACGTGCGACTTTAAATAAATTTGTTGTTTATAAAAAATTAATAAGAAAAATTTTATATTTACTGTCGTACATATCATTAAAAGTTTAATATTTAAAATTTTTTGTTATTTCATCCACTAATTCGGTCCATTAACTTTACATAACATTTATTAAAAATGATTCAATATAATTACTTGTAAAACTGTCACTAATCGCGAGTCAATCAATGCATTTGGCAAAATTTCCGCGTTTCTAGGAAACATTGGTTACATCGCGATTGCCCATCGCGTCGCGGCGCGTACGTCCATTCCAATTATATCCCGACGCGAAGACGGCACGTTCGTGAGTTTCGGAGGGACATCGGCCGTTTCAAATCTCGACCTTCGTCTGCGCATACATCTGTACCGGAAGCGGGTACCGCATGTACATGGCTTAAGAGCAATAAGGGAACCGGCGGGCCTCGCGAGCCGCCAGAAGAGAGTGGGGCGAGACAGTCGCGCTAAGACCAAGAACCGCGGCGGTTCACAAAGCCGCGAATTCGAATGAAACTATTGCCATTCACGTGACAGACGCGCAATCGCCGATCTTTCTCCCGTTTTCTTATCATTCAATCGTATCAATAGATTTTCTGTGCCTTATTGCTAGTGTCTCGTGTACGTTCGATCTAATGATTTTAGGTTACAAAATTAATTGTCAATAGATAATTCCGTGAAACATTCTGTATTTCAAGTTAGAACTATGCATTCTTATCGTTATTCGACGAACAGTTTAATTGCAATATGAACTGATAAAACGTGTAAAACGGAAAACAATAGTGGAGTTGTAGCAGAGTGTATTTTAGTTGACTCGGTAAGTGAAAATACTTTAAATAGTTTAAATATGCATTAAATATAAGTAAACTGCCTTATTTTTTTGGTTTATTTAATTAAATATATGTTGTACATGGTGTCGTATATCTGCTTGTCAACTGTTAACGTAAGATGTAGCATTTTCATCTTTCATCAATGAAAAAAATCATCAAATATCGAGAGAAAGAGAAGGAGAGAGAAAAATCATATAATAATCCTATATATTTTTACATGATGCCAAAATCGTTAAGAGCGTATATAGTCTTTCCAAACATAAAAAGTAATACAATCTTATAGTTTTATAGTCAAGTGTCTAGTAACTTTTTTAGTGTTATTAGGTAATGCTATAAAATATTGACATGAATGGAAAAAGAGGTAAAAAAATATTTCACACTTGTGCAAAAGAAAAGAGAAAGTACCTCTCGGCGAAAAAGTATTTACTTGTGTTAAATATTGTCTACTTACATTAGGTATATTTATTTGCATATTTTTGGGTCATTAGCGACACCTATTTATATTTGCGCTATATGATCGCGGCTATTTTATTATGCGGTGAAATGTTCCAAGACTCATTGTGCATTCATTTAGAAAAATGTATCGTTAAGTACATCAGCGCATACTTTAACATTTTAGAGATTAAGAGAGAGAAGAGCATTTGCATTAGTTTTCACATTACACAACAATTCAAAGATTTACTAACTATTTACCAAAAATAAATTGAAGATACGTTATGATTAAGTAGTCACTATAGAATGTAATAAACTCTTTATTACATTAAATTAGAAAGAAGCGATGTCGAATGTACGCCATCGCACACGAGATTATATAGAAATTTCGTAACAAACCGCATATTATCGTTCTCATCGCGCCCGGTATTGGTAACCCCGGTACATTGTTAGACATTGGAAGAAATTCCCGAGATTCCATGGAACATGTGTGTGCAAACCGTTCTATTAATGTACCCATCACATCTTGCCTCCGTCTTATCCGCTTTTCGCTTTATCTCTCTTTCTCTCATTTCTTGACAAGCGCTCTTGCCGTTCTCTTCTTTCAACGTGTAGCGCGATTTATTCAAACACGCGTCCAAAGAGAAACAAGCAGCGGATGCCACGAAATGCCGTAAAAATTTTCGTTTTTATTACGTTCTAGAAGAAATGGAACATCCGGTATATAAATCGTAATTCGATTATCCAAAAAATAACGAAATACTAATTTGGCGACAAAACATAATAAATGCAAATTATACTAATAAATATAAGTAGGGGAGACCGGAGTCAGTAGACTATAGGAGTAAGTAGAATAATCGAGGCTACATTAAAAACAAAACACGTGAGACACGCGTAAACGTGTCTGAGCATGCAGCAGCGATTGCTGCTCAGTCTGCTGTAACATTTCGTTGCGAACATCTATGATAGAAGTTACGCTACAATTTTAAAAAATCGTACACCTAAGTAAATATCTTTATTCTTAAAGTTTTTGTTTTACAATCGTATATGATTGTCTGAGATATTTTATTTCTATTTATATAATAAGTGTAGTTCTTACTTAATAAAGTCCAACAGATTTTTCTTGTTTACGTGTCCTTGTTATCGTATATTGTTAATGTTTTTAAAAAATGGAAGGATGAGGATAGTAGACTAACCACAGCATGGGACTGTATTTTTCAATAAGTCTCTTAATTTCGTATGTAAAAATTCAAAACTGAAAAATGAGTCTACTAGCCCCGGTCTATCCTAATATATTTGGATATTTCTTTCTATCAAATGTAATTTTTTTAATGCAATTACGTAAATTTTTTAATTTGCAAATAGTAATAGCAATATTAGGAGAGAAGGAGAGAATAATAAATATTCATAATTACTAATCATTAATTTATTCATATTTATCGTTAATAATAAAAAATAATACTATAAAGATTTTATACTTTATATAAATTGTCTATTTATAGAAGCATAACATTTTGTAATAGTAGAATGCAGTTAAAAGTTATTTTTATGTTTTGAGATCATATATCCTCTCCTTTATTCTCCCTAGAGTATAATTTAACATCTTTAGAAACTTTTTTTCAGATATTTATTAGACGTTTCTGTATGATTCAATACTGTTCTAATTTATTTTCTTGCAGTGACAAATGCTTGTAGTATGACGTCAAATGCGATTAGAGGCATCAGAAGAAAGAAAAGTTCGCTTTGCGAAGTTAAAGTAGCAGTGATAGGAGCTCCAGGAGTCGGCAAAAGCGGTAAGCAGATGTATTATATGTTTCAATAAAAGAAAACTCGTAATAAACTTACAATAAAAATAAATTTTCTATTAATACAAATATTAATATTAGCATAATAGAATTGTGAAATAAAAATGCTACAAATATAATTTTGCTATGATTATAAAATTAATTTTAGAAAGATATGTATTTCCGTAAAATATTACTATATCAAGAAATAAAAATGCAGCAAAAAGCCGAATCCTGTTTCTTATGAATAATAAAATTAATAATAAGAACCACAAATTTCACAACAAAGTATTGAATTTTTCTTTCTCTCTCCATATAAAAAATTATGCAGTTTGCAGTTTCTTATATGATTTTACTACTTCACGATTTCACTATAAGAAAATTTTCAAACATTTCCTAGCTCTGATCATATTAAGCTCTGACATATTAATAGAAGGTAGAGACAAGTTGATTACGTCAATCAAAATATATTTTAATGACTTTTAAAAATATTTTTACACGGCTACGTTTTTTTCTAATTTCCATTAATGTAAATATAATAGCAAAAAATGAGACATATACAGCGATCGCTTGAATCTATTATAAATCAAAAGATTTTAGCGTGCAATTAAAAATAAAATTTATTTTACACACTATTCGTATTATGTGCGAAATCGTGCTGTTCTATGAATGAAAGATTGCAAAGAGAAGAATGAGAGAATAAAAGTAGATGTATTTCGAGAAAGAAATAATCTCGTGATAAACTTCGACACTCTAAATTCAAGTGCAAGTACGCACGTATATAATACCCGTTCCATGTGATGAAGATGCATATATGAAATAGGTACACTACCGCTCATTAATTTCAGTACATTCCCAGATTTGTTGAGTTCTCAGTAAAGGATGAACGTGATACATGGGTTTTACGCAGAAATGAGCCCACCTGTTGTTCTAAATACTTTCAACGCTTGCATGCATTTTATATTTATTTATATAAAAATCCTGGAAAATTGTAGTTTTAAAGAAACAGAATTAACAGCCGGATAACATCTGATTCTTGGAAATAAACAAAATACGCACGCAAGATCACGCTATGAAGGGTGCTTTCCATTTGATGACGCAAGTCGACACAGTTATCGTTCTATCTTTGTCACTCTCTGAATGTCAAGAAGGATAGAACGACGCTTGTGTCGACTTGTGTCATCAAATGGAAAGCACCTCATAATATCAGATACGTGCCCAATACTGTTCTAAAACTGATTCGTCAACACATACAATATATCGCTTATTAATACACTATTCAATCGTCGATTTTTCGGAAAATAATGAACAAAAGAAGCTCGTTTATGATGAATATGGATTTATATAGGTAAATAAACATGTTTGTATTCCTACACATTATTTATAAATGTGATGAATATGGATTTATACAGACAAATAAACATGTTTTGTACTCATACGCATTGTTTACAAACGTGCAAAACACATACGTATCACGTTCATCCTTTTCAAGAAATCAACGATCTGGAGTTGTATTGAAATTGAGCCGTTTATTTTGAAAGTGGCCTAAGTCCATTTTTCAATGATTTGTTGTTGATCTTTGTAGTAGCGTGTACAACTTGAAGTTAGCTGTCATAAACATTTTTTTTTTAAATGGACTTAGGTCACTTTCAAAATAAACGGTTCAATTAATGAGCGGTACACTGTTAGAAATGTAACCACGAGCTTCCTTTGCATGTAAATGAAGCTAGTGGTTATGAATGAAATTAAAAGTAATGAATGATTTAACTGAAAATTAAGTTACAGTAGTTACTTAAATGTAATGAACGTGTACATTAAATTCATGAAATTTAATGTACTTTTAATAAAATTTTATGAAAAGTACATTAAATTTTATAAATTTTTATGAAAAATACATTAAATTTTATGTATATGTACATAAATATACTTTTTAGTTACAAATACATTAAATTTAATGTAATGTCATGAAATTAAATTCAAATTAAATTCAATTATGTAACTTAAAAGTTAATGAAATTTAAAAACATTTCTAACAGTGTAGTGTATGCACTGAGGACCCTGAGAGTAGCTAACAGCGTGTATTTTTGGTAATGGCAAGTGTAAAAGCATAGGTAAATAATTAGTCCGTCCTCGCCAGAACTGTGCGTCTTTTCTGTTGGAAGCCTAAGTCCATTTTTCAATGATTTGTTGTTGACCTTTGTAGTAGCGTGTACAACTTGAAGTTAGCTGTCATAACCAACATTTTTTTTTTAAATGGACTTAGGTCACTTTCAAAATAAACGGCTCAATTAATGAGCGGTAGTGTATGCACTGAGAACCCTGAGAGTAGCTAACAGCGTGTATTTTTGGTAATGGCAAGTGTAAAAGCATAGGTAAATAATTAGTCCGTCCTCGCCAGAACTGTGCGTCTTTTCTGTTGGCCGTAAAATACGTGGTTACTATTTTTAAAATTTTACTTCAAAATTTGCCTTGGATTATCATCGAATCTCAATTCACCATGCTTTCCATAACATTTCTTTGCAGTTGAAACTTCATATTAGAAAAATATTATTTCTTTTACATCTTGAGCAAATATCTAGAAGGTATCATAATAGCATGTAAAGAATATTTTTTTAGCTTTTTGTACAAAGTATAAATATAGATTACAATAATCACGTATGTTATATTAAATAGATATTATGTAAGTATAATGATAATCCAAAAGGCATTCTAAAAATTTACAAATATATTTTAAATACTTAAAAAAAGATTTTTTTTCTCCCCCCTTTTTGTTACCGTATTTATAATAATTACTTATCTGCTTTTAATTAAAAATTACTGTTTTGATTATCTAAGTTTAATTTTCTAGGACAAGATTTGTAACAAAAATTCAATGTATTTGAGAATTTGAAGATAAATTCTAAACTCTTTTCTAACAAATAATCGAGGATTAAATAAAAAAGAAATAAAGTAATATTCTAATAATGTGTGTTGGTCCACAAATTTCCAACGCAAATAGACCAATTGCTAACAAATTTGTTGGCTTTTGAAACATACACGCGTTCCTGTCGATCAAAAACTGACCTATATTCTGAACAATATATGTGTATATCAAATATATAGAAATACATACATCTTATACAATTATAATGTTTACGTTCATAGAATTTTATTAGTTACACAAATCTATTTATAAAAATCGTGTTATATTAATTTAGTTTGACAACTGTCTTTTTTGTTTCTTTATCTCTTTTCTTCCTGCAGTAAATCGTTCATTTCATACCGATTTATTAATTTTACGAAATGTTAGCATTTCACGATCAAAAAATTAGATTCGGATAGATTGTTGTCTGGAATTGATGTAAACTGGCGATTCATATTCGAAAAGAAAGTGTATTCACCGCACGTGTTTAAAAATGAAATAAGCTACAGTGGCGTTAATGCATCGCACAAGGTTTTGTGGCGCCGTGGCAGATTCGAGTTTGTGATAAAAATAGTGTGGTATACCTCGAAGCGTGTCACTAGGTTGTAGCTCTCGTTTCTCCCGATCAAATCGCAATATGTTCAGTTATAGTATCATATCGAGAAGATCATATGTCAGTGCGATCAACCTCTTTTCATTACTTTCACGCAAACATTGAGATTACTGAATATTGATTCAATAACGCGTCGAAGATTAGTGCCGTAAAAACAGTAAAACAGTTTGATTTAAATGTATTTCTATTAAAGTCAGATCCCCCAACACAAATTTTCTTACAATTAAAAACTATTTATAGTAGGTATCCAATAATAAAAATATTTCATACAAATATTTCAATACAACCATAAGATATTAACCTTTTTTTCTTTAAGGATGTTCGATAGATATTTCAAAATAATTAAAAAATCATAGAATATTCTAAATCGTATTTAAAAGTAATACAACAAACAAAATAAAAAATCTAAATATTTTTGTCTAAATATCAATATACATATATTAACATACATATATTCTCTAAAAATGAATCAGTGTATTATTACTGACATCAGTGCTACACTTATAACTGATGTAGTCATCAGTGAATATTTACTGAATATTTTTCAGTAAATAATACACTGATTCACTTTTAGAGGTTATCATTTTCTGCAAATTCAATCTGTAGAAACTATAACTTCTAAAAATGAATCAGTGTATTATTACTGAAAAACAGTAAATGTAGCACTAAAGTCAGTAATAATACACTGATTCTCTTTTAGAGAGTACATCGAATATATTTAATTAAATGCGTACGACAGCTGCTGTATACTTGTAAAAGAGGTGGCCATTTATACAACTACACTCTATATATATATATAAATATTAAATATAAATAAATAATATATAATTATATAATATTATATAATGTATAACACAAAATACAATTTCATAATTCAACATAATAATTCATTTGTGAACTTCCACTGCGTATAGAAACAATCGTACAGGACTAATTATATGTAGATTCAATTATTAAATTTTAGTTTTAACTTTATTAAAAATATTAGTTAAATATTAGATACGATTTATAGTGCATAATTCTGACATCGAGAGAATAGTATTTTCGTGTTGATTTTCTCTTGCATAAATAGATACGACTGTAACAAACGAACGAAATGTAGATCACCGCGATGCATATGAATCCGAGACGCGACGTTGCGCGAATAGCCTGTCATTATAGTTTGCCAACTCAATTATATCACGTACAACATAATTATATCATGCTTGAACTATATACACGTGCAGTAGATATTTCTATTATGTTTCAGCATTGACAGTGAGATTTCTGACAAGGAGATACATTGGGGAATACGATCATCAATCAGGTGAGAAAAGTTTCAGCCTCGTAGTTATTTGAAATTTGTTTCAAATCTATTAGGTGAGAAGTACTCTGCTATCTCGAGACGCACAAATGATTCGAAAGTCACATGTAAGTTAAAAATTAATTGAGAATGTACTCAGGTGAGAAGTGAAATGATTATTCGTGTGAAACCTGACACTATTCGAATATTGTTATGATACATATGTGTAACACATTTTCTCTCTTTGATATTCTATTGTACCTCCTACTATTCTTTCGTTTTGTCTTCTACTTTCTCTTCCCAGCGGCCTCATACCTATACACTTCACTACGATAATTGGAAACGTATATTTAACGCACACCTAATGACTATAACCAATACGCAGTTACCAATACCATCATTGATATCGTTCCAATGCGAATCAAATGTCGATATAACTGATTTATTGGACATTAAACTAAAACTAATACACAAATATTTTTGTTCTTAATTTTGTTCATGACTTAACACAATCTACTGTTTTGGTCACGTTACATCATCACAATATACGCGCAAATTGTCGTATTACCAAGCTATAGATATTAACGTAGATGAAATGAGTCTATTACGATATATAGTAAAAATGTAGTAATATAAAAAACTTCAAACTAAATTATCGAATGCAAATATTTTAAACTAAATATTTAAAAATAATTGATAATTGTTAATTATTATTTGCTATATGCTTCATTATTTATTACTTTTTATAAAGTTGCCGTATTTGGAAAATACATATTTTCTACCGCTTTTATCCTTTTTCCTGATGTGCTAGCTATTCATTTTAAGATAATGGATCTTTCAAATAAGAGGTATTGAAATGAGATTTTTAATTTTCATTTTTTTCTGACATTTTATATATATGTAAGTATATTAAAAATAACTTTTAGATCTGTTTCACAGAATTACTATATCAAAGTAAAATAAAAATAAAAAATAATTAACTTACAAATACGATGCGCTGCAGCGGAGTTGTAACACGAACATTATATCTGAAATATAGAAATATATTCAGAATTAGATAAATAGAATTATACCCGAATAATTAATATTTCTAAAATAATTACAGATTTTTATTTATTTATTCAAAATAAAAAATTTAACAAAATAACTATAATTTCTGAAAAGGTCTACTTTCATAAAAATGAAATTTTCTAAAATTTAAAGAACAATAGATTTATTTAATTTTCAAGTTAACAAATCGTTATAAATTTTAAATATATTTATATGTATACATTCTTTGTGCATATACATACATATATTTAAAGCCGGATTCCGAACAATATAAGCAAGGCATAAATAAACGAACAACTTATTTCAATAAATGCAAATAATATCGCCGTTTTGGAAATACTATTTAAATTCATTGCAGGTAGTTATGTTTATTCGCGTTTGTTTGTGCTCGTTCTCGTATAATCAAGATCGGATTTAAGATGCACATACACATTTATATAACACACAATGAATAACATATTATGTATCATGCATTAACGCACGAAATATGCCATGCGATTATCATGGAAACAAATACGATTAATTACGTAAGTAATAAGTCTAATAAATTATTACTCACCTATAGTTGCTCCGCCGACGTCCGATGCCTCTCGGGCCTGCTCCTCCTCTCATGTCTTTCAGTCGCTTCTTCATGGCACTCACACACAACAATCGTCCGCGAAACACGACTAATTACGATTACCAATTAGACTAAAGACAATCGCGAGATACTTATTACACGACACTCCCGATGTTGAACCTGCTCGCAAAAGACCGTTAGGGGGACGCCCGATAATCATCAAACTACGGCACTCGACTCGCACGAAACTCTATACGACACTCCCGTTAATCAAACGTATTACAAACAAATCGTGTACGCTCACCATATTACGTTTCGGTAGAGGAATAAAGTGAAGGAACTACGAGCGGACGATACTACGATGCGTTTGTTACCTGCGACGTCGCGTCGCGCGGAGTAAACAAGTGAACGAGTCAAAATGGCGGAACTAATTCTTAAAACACGCGGCCAACTTCACGCGGCCGGCACGGCACCCGCTGCCGGCAATCCAATGCCGCTCCATGCACTTTCGTGCACCTGCTGTACTTTAAATAATAATTCTTCCGCGGTTTAGGGCGATTAATCCTCATATGTTATAACACAAGTAAATCAACGCACGTAGGAATTAAAAATAAATTGTCTATGAAATACAGTAGAAGAAATGATTACCGACTTAGCACGCCTTAAATTACATTTGAACGTCTCGAAAAATATAATTCAGCAAAAAAGGTTGATATAAGAATATCGAATTTCTGTTAAACGGTTGATAATAATATTAAAATTGATATTAACTACATTTATAGTTACTGATTAAAAGCATCGCGATGCTGTTAGGTTTGGTGTCAACCCGTTTCATTGCCGCGATTGTTAATAACTGAAAACCTTGATATATAATTGCATCGACAACTCCGAATTCCCGATATCGTAAAGTATTATGCGAGTCAATTTAATAATTAATTATAACCCATCAAATAGTTTAATATCTATACATGTAATTAGAATTAATTCATATTTCATGACATGCAATACATTTCGAAATAAATGCGAAATACATATAATATGTATTAATAATCAACCAGTATAACACAGTGTTTGATTACGTAATTATTCCATATAACAGATCATGTTTTATATCCGTTTATCTAATTTCTAATCATTTACACAGAGAATGGATTGAATTATTCGTTCTTACATTATACTTGTCGCAATTGTATTTCGAGAATAGGTAATATAGCAAGACGTTACAGGAGCAATTCGCGACACTACCTGTTCCTTCGAGCGCTATCATGCGAATGATAATACAACGACTCGGCGCGGTGACGTCCGACCAGCGACCTTGTGTATGTACGTAAGGGCCGTCTACACAAGTTGCAAACGTAGAACGCAGTTCGCAGACGCATTTGCGGCAACCAATCAGAAGCGTCAATGGTACTAATAAGCTTTTCATTGGCTGTCGCAAGTGCGTCTGCGAACTGCGTTCTGCGTTTACGACTTATGTAGATGGCCCTTTAGACTTAACGACATTCATCGGGCGTTGTGTGTCAGTTAAACGGTCTACAATGAGATTTTAAGATGTAAAACTTATAATGCTTTTTAGCAAGAGATACAGTATGACATAGTGATCATTTTATCTTTGTTTAACATTCTCTCTAAAACTTTTAAAGTAAATCTCACTATATAAGGGGTCGTCTACAATACACGGAGTAAGAAGTAAGAGTAAGAAATGGACCAATCACAGTCGAATGTGAGAAGAATAATCGACTGTGATTGGTCAATTTCTTACTCTTACTTCTTACTCCGTGTATTGTAGACGACGCCTAAAGAGTGAAATCTCACTCTTAAAAATTGAAAATGGAACTACTTTTTTTCAAGACTAGCTCAATTTCGAGCTCAATTTTTACTCTTTACAGTGAGATTCTACTTCAAAAAATTTAGAAAGTCGGCAAACAATTTCTTATGGCTTGAACATAAAGCTAATTAAGTTTTATGCCTTAAAATATTAGATGTTACTTTAGTTCGTTGTCGTTGTAAAATATTCAAAGTATTATAAACTAAATCGAATATGCCAAATTGTCGCTCCCTATATTTTAGTTTCATTATCGCAACATTATAATTCCGAAAATTATTAAGATTATGTTGACAATTTTTTTTTATACTGTTGAATATCAATAAATTTAATTTAAAGCGAATAAGATTTATTAAGTCATTTGTGGAAATATACAATCAGAATTTAATATCAAATATACAATACTGAACTTGTAAATAATACGTTAAATATATTTATTTTTATTATTAAATCGATGTATCAGTTTTCTATTAATGAGTCATTCGGACCAGCGTAGTGATTTTACTTCACACATTTTATATACAGTGAGAACAAAAAGTATTCGTACAAGGAAATTTTTTATAAAAAGTCTTATTTGTAAAAAATAAACATTAATTAGCAATTTTATACAATAAATACATTCTGTTCTAACATAAACAAATAAGCTTCGCATGTAATCCTGATTTTAGAAGCTAAATTTCTCGACTGTACGAATACTTTTTGAACATCCAAACAATTTTTAATTTTCGCTAATTTTTCAGATGATATATTTTCTATAATTAATACATATCTTTTTGGTATATATAATTTTAAGAAACATACAGTCTATTTTATTCTTTGTGAATAAATTGTTAATTATCCAACAAGAAATGATCGCCAATTAAACGTCGAATTGATCAAATTGATGTTGAAATCATCGTATCGATATCGATTCGATATCAGTTCGATGACTCAGTTTTCGCTGGATAATATTTACTTTTTAAAAATAAAATTTTTTTAAAAAACATTTTATCTATACGAATATTTTTTATACTCACTGTATATATATATAATTCAGATGGTATATACCTGACTCGATGAAAAATACAATATACAAAAACATAATGCAAAAGATATTTAATTGCAAAGATTGCTACGAGAATAGTTATAACGAATAAATATATTACGATAAAAAAAATAATCTATGATTACGACTTTTATCTACAACTTTGACTGTTGTGTCAAACAAAACGCGTCAAATATTTGATCTACAAAATGTGAGCAGAAATTAATTACGCGGACCAATATAATATAGTTAATCAGATCATTCGTAAGAAATTGATCATATTTCAAGAGAGAATCCGAAACAATGTGATCATATTCAAACGGACGAAGTAACTGGTTTGCTCGCCAAGTTGAATGTGATTGATTGGATCCATAAGTAATTAAGAACCCCAATCATGTTCAATTGCTCGATGAACAGGCTAGCTATTTTGCCAGTTTGAACGCAATATACGGAACAGCTCGCAGCACTACCTGCCTATTCGATCGTTGTCGTTAGAATGACAATACAACGACTCGGTGTAGCGTCGCAGCAGCGCCTGACCTTGTGTACATATTCAACAACAAAATGACGCACACCGAAATTTTTTGTCGTTATAAAATATTTAAAGTATTATAAAATAAATCTACGTTTCTATTGCAAATCGATTCAATGAACAAGCTATCAACGCGTTTTGTTTTGCGCTTCGTTCTGCGAACTCGTTAGCACCATAAAGATAACATAACATTACAATTAAATCAAATCGATTCTTGATATCTAAATATGTCTTCAGTTGTTGCATCTTAAAAATGGTTATAGCTGAATTTTTTTCTTACACCTAATACTAAAAGACAGTAATTAATTACTTATTCAAAATATTAAAGGCACTGTTGTTTATAAAAAGGTGGAATTTAATATATTATAACGCCAATATCTGTTGCTGATTTTTTATTAATTCGCTTACAAAATTGACGTACATACGCGTGGCAAAGTATATAATGGAATAACGCGTCAGTTTGAAAAATTGCCAGCAACTGTAATCCTCTTCTAAGGCTGCGTATATTCTCCCTCTGCATACCTCAGTCCGCGTCCGTTCTAAATTTATCGAAGACGAATTTGACACTAGACAGGACGGATACTAATGCGAGGTTGATACTCAAACAAAACTTTTCATTTTGTAGAAATACATTGCAGACACGGTCGTAGACAGGAAGAAAGCACGTGTCATGTTAGCGTCTCAAAGTAAATTCGATCCGAGAGAAATTATTAAATATTCGCGTGGCAGAAAGTTACAGATAATCGTTAAATTTTTTTAACTCATTCAAATTTACGAGCAATTAGGACAATTCTTTTTTTAAAGCAAAATAAGAATTAAAATACATGGAAATCATAGGTTTATGTTATAATCAATGCAAATAATTAATTTAAAATTTTTTTCTTTCAATCATTATGAATTAACTCTGCGAATAGTTCTGTCCAGAAAATATTTCTCACACAAAATGTATATTATAAAGAAAGGAAAAGAATACATTATTAGTTATTTGAAAGATAAATTAAATAAGAAGTAAGATAGTAATGCAAATATGTTTTATGTTTATACAATGTTTTATATTGATATCCTTTTATTGTCGCGCTTATTTTTCATTTTATATTTGAATGAAACAGTCACATGAAATTTCAAATAAAATCGCAATTACACAACAAGCAACATTAATTATAAATTCAGGAAAAACAGTTTAAATCAAATTGACTCGACATGAACTCAAGAAATAAGCTAACATTATTTTGTCATCAAAATGACGTCTTTTAATGTTAAAATGATACGGATAATATCAGCTTGTTTGCTGGGAACACTTACAGATCAAATTAAAAAAAAAATTTTAAGAAAAACACAATCTGAAAATTTTTGAAAAGAATCACGTTCTTATAAGATGTTGTAAGTAATGAAATCGTGATTTTACTTTTATGCCAAATTTCATATCTATCTTATAAATAATAATTATGATATATCTGCATTAAGAGTGAGTCTTATTTTAATTTCTAGAAACCAGATACAAACATGAGGTACTAGTCGACGGGGAACCAATTCTTTTTGAAATTTTAGATACATGTCCAAAGGTAATTTTTGTGTGTGTGTGTGTGTGTGTGTGTGTGTATCTAATAAAATTTTGTTTTATTATAATCTATACATAAATAGTTTCCCTAACATAATTTTTTAACATTTTAGAGTGAAGATGAGCTGCCATCGATGGAAACTTTACAGTGGGCGGACGGCTTGTTGTTAGTCTATTCAATAACCGACAGAAACTCTTTTAATTTTGTTAGAAAGGCAAAAGAGGCTCTTGCAGTAGCTGATCCCGAAGCTGCGATGCCTCTTGCCCTTGTTGGAAATAAAGCTGATATGGTTCATTTACGACAAGTCAGTGCTGAGGAAGGAGAGATACTAGCAAAGGATTTTGAATGCTGGTTTAGTGAAATAACTGCAGCTGAGCAAGTAATTGCAATTTCTAATAATTTATCACTTTATTCACAGGTTTTATAGCATTTTTAAATAGTTAAGTAACTTCCATAGGTTGCTCAGGTCGCAGAATCTTTCCACGAATTATGCAGAGAAGTTCTCGCAGCTAGAAGAAGAAACAAACAATCTTTGCTGGATAGAATGCTCGGTGGTAAAGCGACACGCGCTTATTCACGAGGAAAAAGCGACTCTGCTTTACCGAAAGATTAATATTATTACTTGAGTACATGCCTGTTACAAATATAAGAAAAAAGAATCCTTCAAAATATTGTTAACTGGAGAATGTGAAAAAAGGTAGTAGAACAATCGTATATAATCGCTTTCTAAGCAGGATAAGTCATGATAACATCAAAATAACGTTAAAATGATTTGTTATTAATTAAATTACGATTTTTGGTAACCGTTTTGCACTTTGTTATTTTGATGTTGTAATGAATTCTATTCTGTTTGGATTTAATGCACAAGGAATGAAAGAAAAGCAAAGCAACAAATGCCAAAGAAAATATCAGTTTTCAATTTATAGAGAATGTAATTTAAGATTAACTGTTACATAAATAATATAGATATATAAATTTTTATAATATATCTTTATAAAACTGTATAAAAATAACTTAAATCATAACTTATTCTTCAGAATGTATTAGAAAGTTCAGTTCAAGGAAAAATGTAATATAGAAGAATGAATTATATATATTTCTAATAGTTTTACAATATTTTTATATATATATAGCACACAAATAGTAATATCAGAGAGAAATCTGAGAGAGGACGTGAGAGCCTCTTTCCTGTAATCGCATAATACCGCCGCGCATTACTGCCCTCTGAAAAAGTGGATGTAAACCACACAACAATATCCATTTTTGCGGTGCTCCTGATGGAAATAAATCGCTGAAATCGCTGAAATAACTAAAATCTATTAAATTAATATTCAGATTTCTTTCTGCCTGTATTCACAGACAGATTTTATGTTTAAGATCGTCTTAAGTACAGTCTTAAGATGTCATGAACCAATCAGAAAGCCGTATTAGCATTTTAGAACATTACTTAAGATGGTCTTAAAATAAGAACCGACCTTATGGATACCGGCCTTAATACCTATTGTACACTGGATACGATGAGAGATCAACGACGAGCGATATCCAATAAAAATTCTGCTTTGTATCGTCACATGAAAAAAGCAGAGCTTTCATACAATTCAAAGCCGATATGTAATAGGTAAGTTCGAGGAGACGTTATAGCGCTATTTGTGTCATTCTATCCTTTGTCTAATAAACAACGAAGATAGAATGACAGAAGTAGCGTTAATAGCGGTTTCTCAAACGCACCAAATGTAAGAAATTTATTTAATACCTTTAAAATATCTAATAAATTTTAATTACATTGTTGAAATTTAAAAGCAACACATATAGATATTCAGATATAGAATGGGAATTCCTGAAACATGACGGACCAATCAATGCGCTACTTTATCATATTGCAATTTGCAATTTGAATAAAGTTGGAACTCTTCTAATATTGTAAGAAAACTACATTTAATTTAAAATTGTAAAGAAAATTTAAATTAATAAAAATGAGGTTGATTTTGTAGAGGCCCTCCACCACCCCCGCCAATTTTAAACGGCGGTCCTCTTTTTCTCAGCAAACACCAAGTTACATGTAACAATTTATGGATTAACACCAAGTTACATGTAACAATTTATTATTAATGTAACAATTTTTGGATTTGAATGTCTTTATGTATAACATACGAATTTAATATTTTCATACTGTGTATTTATTCGATACCAAAATAAGAAGAAAATAAAGAAAGAATTATAATATACAAAGTAATCAGACACAATAGAATATAATAAAATATAAAATATAATACAACATAAAAAATAGACTCAAATCTTTTTAATATAAAATATAAAATACAAAAATTGCTTATAAATTTTTACAACATTCTTGCTTATATGTATACGATATCTCGTATACAACAAAATGCATGCATATCATAACACACAATTTCCGCATATTTCAAGAAAATCCGAATTTTGGTTCTGCAATAACAATCTCTACGTTTTTATTTAATAAGTCTTTTAATGATACAATGTTATTAATGGGTTAAACGAAAATTTCAATTTCGCATCTCCTCTTGTGGAAATAAAAGTTATTGAATTTTAAGAAACTCAAAATTGAATATTTAAACAAGTTAATTTAGCGAATTTTGTCTTATAATGTGCGCTTACATAAAAATGGAATTACGAAATTATGCTTTTTTTAATGCAGATTTTCAGCCCGTTTTTACCAAACATAATTACTAGTGCGTAAGTATATTCCAAAGTCTCTATAATTACTAGCAATTATTGAGACTTTGAATACATTTTAAACTTTTCCAATCATATATCATTAATTTAAGGTTTAATTTAGCAAAAATAAGCTAGAGGCCCTCCACCACCCCCGCAGACTTTATCGGCGGTCCTCTTTCCTTTGTAAGTATACTTACCCGTAAAAAAATGGGCTACTAATAAATTTAGTAGCCCGTTTTTTTACAGGTAAATATATTTTTAATTTATTTTTTATTTGTATATTTAATTATTTTACTATATTTCGGTAATGATTTACATTAATTTTTTTTATATTATCTTTTATTGAAATTCTTTATACAATTCAATATTACAATAATAACAATTGTTTACAATACAATATACACTCATAAATGCTGTTCAAAATATAATAAAAATGATATAGGAGCATAACTAACAAATTTTTGTAATACGGGATTATACGAAAACGTCGAAGATACATATACGATAACATAAATTTTTTATTTTGTTGAGTTTTAAGGAACTCGAAATTGAATATTCAAACAAGTTAATTTAGCGAATTTTATCTTACAATAAAAAATTAGAAATTAGGAAGTTATGTATTTTTATACAAATTTTTAGCCCGTTTTTACCATAATTATTAGTATGTAAGTATATTCTAAAGTTTCTATTATTAGGAGCCGTTAATATCGTTAAATCGTGTAAAACATTTAACAGTATCTATTATTCTCCTCTAAGTATTTCGACCTGCCAGAGAAGGGACAAATTAGAGGAAATATTACCAGTGAAATTTATTCGGAGTAATTGAATTTTGAATCGCGCGCGCGCGCTAATTTAGAAATTGTTCTAGCAGCTGAATTTCCTTTAACTTATCCCGTTTACTTTGTAGTGAAGATAGTCTCCCTTTATCCTTTTCAAAAGATAAAGGGAAAATATCTAACAATTATAGAGACTTTGAGGTCTAAGTATAGAGACTTTTAATACACTTTAAATTTTTCCAATCATATAACGTTAATTTAAAGTTTAATTTAGCAAAAACGAGCTAGAGGCCCTCCACCACCCCCGCCGATTTTATCGGCGGTCCTCTTTTCTTTGTAAAAATACTCACCTGTAAAAAAACGAATTACTAATAAATTTAGTAGCCCGTTTTTTAAGTGAATATATTTAAAAAATTTTTTTTATTTTTATGTCTAATTATTTTATTATATTTCGCTAATCATATTTCAATATGAATAACAAAATATAATACAATAATTAGCAATCATATTACATAACTTTTTTAATATTATCTTTTATTGTAATACTTTATACAATTCAATACTACAATAATAATTATTATTTATAATACAATATACAATTATAAACGCTGTTAAAAATATAATTTGATATAATAGGAGCATAATTAACAGATTTTAATAATGCAGGATTATACGAAAGCGTCGAAGATACGATAACACAAATTTTTCTAAACCAATGTTTATAATGAAATATTGATAAACGCGGAAAAAATACTAAGAATAATTAGATCGTATTTACTATTAATTACTAACTTGCGAATATAAAAATTAATATTGCGTTAAAAAGTCATTAATATACATATGACAGCACTTTCATCGCGTTCAAGATAACTTATTCCAATAGTGTAAACGTATCAAGGTCCCTCCACGTTGCAATAATTAGCATCCGATAGAAAAAAGAACAATCTTCATAGTGGAGAACGAACTTTCTACGTCAAATTTACAATGTCCATTCGTAAAGAAAAATTTAGCAATTCGTCAAACATCAGCTGTCTTGTTACAGAAAGGTGTGAATCCCGAAACTTTCAGACTACTTACGATAGTAATAATTTTGATAGCATGTCAATTACAATTACTATTTTTATCACATTTTTCATATAATATTAAAATTCGCGAGAAAATATGTTCTGCCACACATCACTAAAAATCATCTCTTATTAAAAATAAACGGATAGAATGATTTCCTTACGGAATAGCGGTTACGAAGGAATGTATTTAATAATAATAAAATACATGCGTTGTAATTTTTTATATGTATGGGTACAAAAGTTTCTCGGGTACCAACTGTTCGAGATAAGTCGAACCCGATAATAACGGGATTTTAAAGAACTTTTATTCTGAAAAATTTATTATGTGAAATTTAACTATTTCTTATTTTTCTGTATTTTCCAAAAATTTTAATTATGAATATCCCGCTAATATGAGGGTACCCATTCAACTCATCTCGAATTTTTTGTAGCCACACATTTTTAATTAAATTCATCAACAAAAATTAAAATTTGTTAAATATAATCTTATCTGCATGTATTTTATTATAGAAAAGTATGTAAAAAAGTATGTAAAGTATGTGTATGTAAAAATTAATAATTAATAATGTTCTAGAACGGCGGGATGTCCAGTACCTAAAAATAATTTTAAAGTAATAGTTAGAAAATTAAATATATACATTCGTAACCATATTTTTGTTAGGGGAATTATCAAAAATTGAACAAACTATTTGTATAAAATTTAAATTTATTTACTTAATAATTTGGACTTAAACAAATAATCATTATATATCCATATTAATCATATAATATTAAATTTCTATTGTTATTAAGACAGTACTATTACTAACATTATCATTACTAGTGGGAGAACATTTAATAAAACAAAGAAAGCAATGAAAATTGTATACTAAAATATACCACTGAATTAATTTCGCGACTTGACTTCAAAATATATAGCAATTGTCACTGACTTACTGATAAATTTATTACTTCCAGTAATTATAGACAAGAAAACCCGGGATTAATTCCGATCCTATACAAGAATCTCGAACGGGACACAAAACTAGACTTTGCGAATGGGAAGCGACGAGGAATAATTCTCCATGATGAAAATAATTACGACTTTCCATCGACACAAACTACACATTTACTGGTATACATCTGACGCGAGGGATGAAGTCTTTGCATATAATGAATCAATCACTAAGATATACTTGTGATTCTATAATGTTAAAAATATATATATAAATGTCAAAAAGCAAAGAAGTTAATATTTAACTATTGCCTCAGTCAAAGCTCCAATCTTTACTGACTTATCTAATAAATTTATCTACTAAATACAAAGAAAAATTAACGATTATTCTAAACATCAAATTTTCAATTAGAAGTCACACAAAATTAATAATAACTTTTTGATATTCAAAATAAAATCCAAATTTAAAAAAA